TTCTTCCAGGGAGTGTAGTTTAAAGGCCCAAATTTTGCAAATCTACTACATCAAAAATCCGCTCGTGTCAACAAGGTCTCAAATAGACGAACATAAGTTCTGTCCTGAACACATTGATATTGAGCGCCCTTTTTTATCATAGAGACTCTTTTTCGATGGAAAAATTGTCCACGGATTACCCAAGAATTATTATTATGTATTAGCATACACACGATTTAATCCACTTTTGTACATTATCAATCATTTTAAAATAACAATAAATAAAGCACGTAATGTTAATTTGTAATAGTTACACACAATTAAATTTAGGAAAACTGCATTGTATAATTCAACATTAAATTTGTCATCTTTTCTTTCAGATATGTGCAAGGTGATCACCATACACAATACATATTAGTATTATCTTTTTGTTGTTGTTGTTTCAAACGGAAATAAATCAATATTACTAAACAATTTACATTAATCAAATGACATCATTAAAAATTTTTGAAATAGTATAAATACTACAAACTTTTTTTTATTTTCCGCATAATTTATTTTATTGAATACTATCCAATCATGTCTTCACAAAGTATTTTTGCAAAAAACTCGGTTACTACATTTACATCAAATAATAATAATAGTATTTCACAAAAGAATAACTCAAAATTATTTTTTTCTTCTACCAATCTAAAAATTAAATTATTGGAACCAAACCTTTTCCTACGGGGAAATTCTCGAGAATCATTAGGTTGCTTTTTAAGAGGTGAATTAATATTAATCTTAAACAAGCCAACTAAAATAAAAAAGTTAGAATTGAAATTTAATGGTAGTTCGAAAACTTTTTGGCCAGAAGGTAGAATCTATTATGGTAAGTTATTAATTTTCTTGATTTTTTAATCTTTTATTTATTATAATAATAATAATTAAATAATTTAATAATAACAACAACAACAATAATTTATTAGAATCTTCAAATGATAATGGCCTACACGAAGAATATGAATTAATATCAAAAAATTGGACATTTTTATCTCATAAATCGTCCAACAATCAACTATCATCACTATCATCATCATCGTCATTATCATCGTTATCATCATCATCATCATCATCATCATCATCATCATCATCATCATCATCAT